AGAGGTATGATACAGTCCCATCCTACATCAATAATACTAGAATCAGTTTTGGTTTGAAATTTACTTTGTCTGCAAATAAGATTGCTACCCCTGTTTTTTTCTGGGCTCCTGTCACATGGAGAATTGTTTTCTATCTTTTCACTTTCAGTCTATGGGCTTCTTTTTGCACTAGGTGTGTTTCTTGTATACAACATATTGTTGGATTTTGCTTCTTATTCCATTTTGCCAGTCTATTTCTCTTGATTGGTGAGTTGAGGCCATTGACATTGCTGGTTATAACTGATATGTACTGACTTATTATTGACATGTTATTGGCCTTTTGTTGACTCTTTTTACTTTTTCACCTTCTCCTTTTAATTTCTTGCCTTGCCTATTTGATTTGCTCTGTTGGGCCTCATGGTGTTGTTGCCTTCATTGTCTTTTTCTAGGATCTTGTTTAGAATTGCTTGTAGTGCTGGTTTGGTATTCATGTAGTTTCTCAGGTGTTCTTTGTCGTGGAAGTGTCTTATTTCCCCATCCATTTTGAAAGAGAGTTTTGCTGGATACATCAGTCTAGGTTGGAGGTTGTTCTCTTTTAGTACTTGAAATATCTCATTCCAGGCTCTCCTTGCCCCAAGGGTTTGTGTTGAAAAGTCTGCTGTGATTCTGATGGGCTTTCCTTTGTATGTGATTTGTTTCTTTTCTCTTACTGCTTGTAGTATTTTGTTCTTCTGTTGGGTTTCTGGGATCTTGATTATTATATGTCTAGGTGTAGATTTTTTTTGATTGTAGCTAGTTGGGGTCCTATATGCCTCAGTTATCTGAATGTCAAATTCTTCCCCTCTGTTTGGGAAGTTTTCTGTCATTAATTCTTTGAACAGCTTTTTAAAGTCATTTGTATTTTCTCCTGCTACTTCATGGATTCCTGTCAGTCTTATGTTATTCTTCTTTGCATCATCTAGGAGTTGTTGGATCGATTTCTCATGATCTCTTACTGTTTTTAAGAGACCTCTCTTTTCATGGTCACTGACTGCAATCTTATCTTCTATATCTGAGAGTCTATCTTCGCATTCTTTTATTCTGTTGCGTACACTTTCAATGGAGTGTTTAATCTCCTGGATATCTGTTTGAATCTGTTTTATGGATTCCATTTCTTTCCTATGTTGGGCGTTTATTTTTTCCATTTCTTTCTTATGCTGGGCCTTCATGGCTTCTATCATAGTCCTGAGCTCATCTGTTTTTTTTGTCAGTTTCTGCTCTAGAGTCTTGAATCACGACTTCCATTTTGCTCACTATCTCTATGGTTATCTGGGAAATTAGTTCTGTTTTGAATTTTTCTAGAGCCTGATTGATCTGTTTTGTTTCTTCCTGTGCTTTGAGTTCAGGTTGTCCTGGTGGTTCACTATTGGCCTTTTCATCCTCATTTGCCCTACTGTTTGCCATTGGTGGACTGGAAGTCTGTTCTTGTGTCTTGCTTAAGTGTTTTCTCATTTTAATTTTTGTTGTTGGACTGTCCTTGGTTTAATCTCTGGATTATCACCCAAATCTTCCTGATATATTTGCACCCTAGCTTCTGTGTCTCTAACGACCCACAGACACTCTCATCTTCATAACATCAGAGAAAGAGCTCATCAAATCATCCGCAATGCTTTACCCCAACTGATACAATCAGCAACACATTAAGATCAAGCACAACTTGGACATTGACCACCTGTGGTAGTCACTAGTCTATCACCCTTAAATCATTTGAATTGAAATCAAGAAGCAATCTAGAACATGTCTGCAGTGAACAAAATTTCAGTATAGTGTATTGACCATTTAATGGCTCAGACAGAGCAAGGATGCAAGTCCCCTGGTCTCAGTTAGATGATGGTTGAACCCCATGATGCTGACTGACCTTGGGCTGCAAGGCCCAGATTGAGTTCCTCGACCTTCTGAATGGTTGAACTCCACAATGTTCTATTATAGGTTTCCCACGCCCTTTCTTTAAAGATGTTCAAAGTTAGGAACTCAGAAAAATACCCTTGATGACCACCTCTGCCTCCGCAGAGTGGGTCCAAAGACTGACACAGGAGGTCTGAGAGTGCACGGTGGGGGGGACTACCTTCCTGGCGCTTGAGCGATGGTGGCTGGGTCGGGAACAGGCGTGGCTCTCCTTCCTGCCGTGGATGGGGGCCCAGGCTGCCTCCTGGAGTTTGAGCGATGGCGGCTGGGTCAGGAGCAGGCCTGGCTCTCCTTCCCATGCTGGATTGGGGCCCACAGTATTACTATTCTTGAAGGACGTCTGTCTACCTGGAACAGCCCACAGGGCTAGCTGACTGCTAGCAAGTGGTGCTGTCCTCCGTGAAGGCTTCTTTGCCAAGAACAAGGTTTCCTGGAGGAAAAACTTTTTAAAGTAACTCTTGTTCAGTGACAGGGTTTTAGATATTGGATTTTAGCACATTTTAGTATAACACATTCCTCCCTTGTTCAGAATTACCATTAGCTGGTTAGTGACATCTGGGGACCCCACTGATACTGAAATCAAGGTGGCAGTATGCTGCAAAGGACACTCGAGCCTTAGGCTCAGAAGCTGCCTGGGCCTGGTGGGTCCCCAGGCCAGGTGTGAGGAATCCCAGCCCCTTCCACCGGCACCCACCCAGCCCTGGCTGGCCCTTCACTGCGCCTCTCTCCACAGCATGACTTTGGCCTGGAAAGGAAGGCTCTCTTCTTCACAGAGGCTGCCCTCCGAGGACACGGACCCTACCAGAGCAGTGACCTGGGCACAGCCTCAGCCCCTCCAGCCTGGCTCTTGCTGCTCAGCCCAGACAGCCGCCTGGCACCCGCGCCTGCAGAGGCTGGACTTCAGCAGCCGCCCTGGGATGAGCAGGAGGCGGCCACCGAGGAAGAGAAGGACGCCTCCTCCGCCAGCGAGGACGAGCAGGATCCCGGTAGCTCATGTCCAGGCTCCCAGCCCACCCCGGACTGCGGCCGGCAATGCTCACTAATGCTCGGGCTTTTGTCTGGGAGAAGACTGGCCACCAGGTCCTGGGCATTGCTACGCAGCTTCCACAGCCACCGTGCACGCAGCCTCTGCGGGGCGCCCACACCCCCGGGGCCCACTCCGCTGCCACTGCCACCTCCAGACACCCCGCTGCCCCTGCGACCCGCCACTGCTGGCCCCATGGCCCCGCTACGGGGCCACAAACCCACGGTCCCGGTAAGGACGCCACCCGCGCTGTCAAGGACCCGGGTTCCTGCCTCCCCGAGCTTCTCCTCCTGGCCTTCACCTGCCCACCCTGGTGCTGTGGTGCTGTCCTTCTGCAGCTCTTGGCCTAGAAGAAGCCCTGCTCTGAGACCCCATTCTCCCGGGTTCCTGCTGTGCCTGCTTTGCCGCCATGATCATAAGCCGGGTAGTTACCCCGCGAGTGTCTTCCAATGGAAGAAGGCAGCTAGCTGCAGACCTGACCCATAGAGGTCTGCAGGGTTAAAGAAGCAGCTCGGATCAGGGTGTCCCTGGGCAGGCTCAACCGGAGGCTCAATGGAGGGATCTCCCAGTTCAGTGACTTCGGCCCCTGGGCCACATAAAGTGGGGGATAGTCAAACTTCAGGACCGAGTTGTCTAAGCAGACCCAGGACAAGATCCAGTACCAGACTGGCATCAAATGTTGAGAGATGGCCAGGCTGCCCAGGATGGGAAGGTGGCAGTGGGGTGGGTGCATTCACAGCCCAGTCAAAGAAGTGTCAGCCTCAGGGCCCTCGCTTTGTGCCTTCCAAGGGCTTGTCCCCAGTGTCATGTTTATAGCCGCTTGCCCTTTTTCTTTTAGGGGTCCCCTCCAGATTGTTTAAGCAGCCATCTACAAAGCCTGGATCCTTAGTGGCTTGGGGTAGGATAGGTAGCAGAGGGTGGCATTTGGACACAGCTTCTGCTCCACAGTTGGGCCAAGAGAAGCTGCAGAATGAGGCCTAGGTAGAATTAACCGAAGACAGACTTGAGGTCTAGCTTTTGCCATCACTGGTGTGTCATGGATGCAGACGTTCTTTACCCTAGGTGAACCCAAGGTAGGAGAACCCCTAAGAAGATGGGGACGGGTGGGGAATTCATATGCCTGCCTCCACTCTGCCCTGGATTTCCTTGGGAGGAGGGGATGGGGCTGTGTTTAGGGCTTTGTTAGCCTGTGCCCTGCAAGAGCCCAGCCCAGGAAAACTCCAGAAGATCCACCCCAGACCCTCTCACTGAGTTGCAGGGTAAGGAACCCTCTGAGTCAGGGCCAGGTCCCAAATGTGTGTTGTGTATCAGTTCATTAACTTCTCTGAACCTTGATCTCAGTGTCTGTAAAATGAGATAATGGAATGATTTTATCATATTTCTTGGGGTTTTCCCCTCCTTTCTTTTTTTATGGGGAAGTGGGGACTGGGTCTCATTGTATTGTCTGTGCTGGTCTCAAACTTCTGGGGCTCCAGCGATTCTCCTGCCTCAGCCTCTTGAGTAGCTGGGAGCACAGATGTGTGCTGTTTTGCCCAACTTCCTATCACATTCATGTGCAGAGTATTCTAAGCAGTAAATGAAATGCAGCCTTGCCAACAGTGCCTCCTTACCAACTACTTTGCCCACATTGTCTCCTAACAACCTTCGGGGTCCTTGTGAGATGCCTGTTTCAAATGCAAGTGAAGCAAGTAACCCATGGGGAGCTGGGGTCTGCATGACTCTATAGAAGGTAGTACATGAAGCCACCCTTTAAAATCTGCAGCCCAGCCGGTGTCTCTTGTGGTAACTGATGTGCCAGCCTGTCTGTGTTTCAGTCCCTCAGCCCGTACACCTGCCTGCCACCTCTTAGGGGGACACCCCAGCCTCTCAACTCGTGCAGATCAAACCCTGATTCTGCAGCTGACCTGCTGTCTGCCCTGAGCCAGGAGGAGCAGGAGCTCATCGAGCCTGTCGTGGCCCTGGGGTACCCGCTAGGAAGGGCCATCGTGGCTCTGCAGAAGACGGGGAGGCAGAGCCTGAGCCAGGTGAGTGGGGGCTGGGAAGCTGGAGTCCAGTGAGCAGACCTGGGGGGTTTTGCCTTTACATTAAAGAAGTTTTGCTACCTTCTGTTTAGAGGTACAACCTCAGCCTGCTGTTAATCATTGGGGTTGTGAGCAAGCTTCCACACCCTTCTGCTATCTCCCCTTGAGGAGTTTACCAGCAGCTGACTGGTGAAGTATCAAAATTCTACTCCTGTCCCAGTTCCTGCCCCAAATACAGGGAGCTGGAGCTTTGAACAGTCAGGAATCTCTCCACAAAGGCCCCAGTAGAACTTATACTAGTGGGTTGTTTGATTGTTTGCAGTACTAAGGATTGAAACCAGGGCTTTAATGCTGAGGTACATCCTCATCCCCTTTTTATTTTTTGATATTAAGACAAGGATCTCACTAAATTGTGAAGTTGCCTAGGCTGGGACTCCAACTTGTAATCCTCCTACCTCAGCCTCCTGAGGTGCTGGGATTACAGGCATGCACCACCATGTCCAACTGAGAGAGATTTTTAAAAATCTGTGTTGTCCAGTACAGTAGCCTCTAGCCATATGTAGTTACTTGCAATGTGTGACTAAGAAACTGAATTTTAAATTTTACTTAGCTGAAATTAATTTAAATGCAAATAGCTAGTAGCAGCCTTGCTGGAGAGCACAGCTCTAGCTGCCCCCCTCAGTGAACAGTTTATCCACATCTGTCTCTCTCTTCCCACTTACCCACCCATCCCTGTAGTCCTGAATATTTACTGGACACTTCCTGGGGTTAAGATGGGCCAGGAGCTAGAGGGAAAACCAAGGCACATCTCCACCTGCACAGTGGGTGGGTTACCCTGGAAAAGGGGGAGGCTCAGATGTAGTTTGGCAGCGAAGATGTTTGGGATCAGTCCTGTGGAAGTGAGGGGACAGAAGCCACAGTGACAGAGGGAGAAGTTGAGCTGTACAAAGCGCCTGCCAGTGCCGCTGCTGTGAGATTCCCCCGGCCCCTCCGTATCCCTAGCAGGGTGACATCCTGGTTGGGCCTTTACACCTCTGCTTCAGCCAGCCCTTGCCGGTAGAAAGGGGTGACTTGAGAGACATGGTCTCTGTAACAAACCCGAAACTTTAGTAGCTCAGTACAATGACCTTTGATTTGCTCATGATTCTCTGGGTTGACCATGTGGGTCAGACACAGCTAGGTGGTTGTGCTGGTCTCATTGTGGCCACAGATTGGTAACATTTGGTTCTAAGAGAGCATGTGTGAAAGCTGCAAGGCCTTCCACAGCCTCCGCTGCTTTGAGACAGGGTCACTTTCATCTTACCTGGTTTCTCAAACTATGTCTTAGACCAGCCCAGACTTAAAAGGTGGAAAAACAGACTGCCTCTGGATGAGAGGGACTCCGAAGAATTTATGGCCATGCTCAGTGTACCACAAGGAGGTTCCAGTGATCAGCAGAGGCTTCCTGGAGGTGCCAAGCTTTGAGCTGCACTTTGAAGCCGGATTAGACTGACTTTGATGTAAGAAAAAAGGACGATATTCCATGCAGGAGGCACAAGTGAAGGAAGAAGAAGGGATAGAAAGGAAGAGTTTGGAAGGCCCTGATCCAACCTGTCTTTTGGAGGAGAGGGCGCATGAGGCAGGATGCTGGGAAATAAAAACGGTCCCTAATCTCAGAGCATTCGATTAGGTCATCTCGATTCTCCAAGGTTACTGTGCTATTACTGCCCTGAGCACTTTGCAGACAAAACTGAGGCCAAGGAGGCTCATCTAGCTTGTCAGAGGCAGTACCAGGGCTGAGGCCAGGCCGGTGTGACCAGGAATCCTTGTTGCACAGTGCTTTTCTCCCACTTCCTGTGTGAGAACCTCCTAGAAGCGTAGCCCAGGCTGATCTGAGATTTAAGAGCCGATCTAACTCAACCCCTACCTTCAGCTGCTGTTGCTAAAAAGCCTGGAGCATGGCCTAGAAGCAGGTCAGGAGACCTGTGAGGGGCCAGGCCCAACAGGGAGCTGTGAGGAGCCTCCTCGGTGCCTTTGGGCCCAGCGACAAGGCTCCAGTCACTGTCCATCATAGTGGGGTCTGAAGATAAGTCACAGCCAGGGCAGGGCACTGGCCTCCCAGAGGGTGGCAGCAAGGATCTCACTGCACTGGGAACACCATGCTCCCAGATTGAGACTGGCCACCTGCATGGCACTGCTGGGTGGCCTTCCTCCCCAGTGGACAGTCAGGGGGTGGCCTGAGGGGCCTTTGGATGGCTTCATCTGCCCTCTCTTCTGTGAGGTTCTGCCATCATGTAAGCCACCCCTTTGGGTTTAGGTTCCTTCTCTGGAAAGACACACACTGCAGTAAATCCATTTAGACCAAGGTAGATGACAGATGAGCCAGGTGTGGTGGTACATGTCTGTAATCGTAGCACCTAGGGAGGCTGAGGCAGGAAGATCACAAGTTTGAGCCCAGCCTTGGCAGCTTAGTGACTTAATGAGAACTTGTCTCAAAATAAAAAAGGGCTGGAGATGTAACTCAAGATGAAGACCCCTAAGTCCAGATGACCCAAGGGAGGTCGTCAGTGATGGAGACAGCATACTTAGAGGAGTCGGGGGAGAAAAGGAAATGTAAGCAAAGCTTTGTGCATTGCACCATCCTTCCTTCCACGGATTTGCTCTGCCCATCTCCTGGCAGAGGCAGGCGTCCATGGCAAGGCCCAGACTTGCTAAAGGACCTAGCAGGACCCTTCTTTGGGGCTTTCTCTATTCACGGGATAGAGGAGGAACATGTTATGACACTAATGACTTCTGGAGACCCCTTCTCACCTACCCAGGGGCCTGAGGCAAGCCTGGTAGCTTCTACAATTCCATAGATCCCCAAAGCAGACCAGGCAGCAGGATCTTTACAGATGCAGATCTCCAGGCCTGTCCTGAGGTGGCCCTGATATGCAGCATGACTTGGGCTGTCTCTGGAGCCACACATGAGAATCAACGGGAGAGCTATTAACACATTCCTGTTTCCTGGCCACACCCCAGACCAGAGACAGCAGTGCCTCTAGAGTGAAGCCCAGGAAGTGAAATCAATAGTTTTCCAAGCATCCAGGGTGGCTGCAGTGGGCCCCAAGGCTCAGAAGCATTGCCATGGATGAGGCAAAAGCTGAAGGTGCATCTGCTGTGCAGCCCTATCCTCACCGTCCTCCTTGGGGGCTGTCCACTGCCCCCTGCAGGACAAGGTGCTGAGTGAGAGGCGGGTGATCTGGGCCCTTGTCCTGGAACCACCTAACCTACCTGGACCTCAGTTTCCTCACCTGGGAGGGAGGCTTGGGTGTGTGGCTCAGAGCAAGGTCCTGTCCCTCCAGTGCGTGCTCTGGCCTTCATCTCACAGGCCGCTCTGATTGCAGCCCAGACAGTGAGGAGCTGCAGCATTTTGAAAACCATTCAACCAGACCATCCTGTTCTCTGCAAGCTCTGAAGGTCTGCAGAAACCTGCCTTGCTCCTCTGCAAATACTCTTAATCCTCCCAGTCAGGAGCCTTTGTCTGGCACCGACCACCTATAACTCCTGCTTTGATTTGCCTGGCACTGATGTTGTCCTGCATCTGGCTTATCTCCCATGCTAAGCTGTGGGTTCCTTCAAGGTCATTCTTAGTTCGTTTCATAAATGCAGCATCTGTTCATTGAAGAGCTCCTCCCGGCTGCCATGCTGGGGCTGGAGACACAGTAGCAGGCCAGACCAGCCAGCCCCTCTCACACAGAGCAGGAAGTGAAAGAGGAGAAAGCGGAAGAGGAGCGATCACAGTGCTGTGTGTGCCACGCAGAGAGCTCAGGGTGCTCTGGGACACAGCCAGTGGAGACTCAGCTGGCAGAGGCTTCCCAGAGTGGCCAGCGCTGGCCTGCACTGAAGCAGCCTGTGGCTGGGGCAGGGTGGAACAGGACCTTCAACATCCACCACCATCTTTACCCGCTCTCTCCCGAGGGCAAAGGAGCTCTGAGGATTTGAACAGGGATTGACATAAGATTTGGGCCCTGTGGGTCCCTCCCCTGTCCACTGCCCCTCCCCAAGCTATAGAGGCTTAGGGGGTCCTTGGGACAGATTTATCTGGGGTGAGGAGGGGCCCCTCACACATTAGTTGCTCACCGGGAGCAGGGAGTGCGTATGTCCAATCGCTGAATCTGTGGGTCCCTCCCCTGTCCATTGCCCCTCCCCAAGCTATAGAGGCTCAGGGGGTCCTTGGGACAGAGATTTATCTGGGGTAAGGAGGGGCCCCTCACACATTAGTTGCTCACCGGGAGCAGGGAGTGCGTATGTCCAATCGCTGAGGGTGGCTCCCCAGTCACTGAAAGCCCCTTTCCTGGATTCCAGCCCGCATCTTGGTACAGTGGTGGGGGGCATGGTCCACATGTTCCCAGGACTTTGAAGGAGGCCTGTGCTCCTGTTGTTTTTGCTCCTAGGATCTCTGGGCCCTGCAGCATGCAGGGGGTTTCCCAGCCCTCCTGGTCTTGAGCTCAGACTGCACCCCATCTGCTGCATGTCTTCTTACCATCCCACCCTCTCTGCCCACCTCCATCCAGTTTCTCAGCTACCTCAGTGCTCAGGAGAGGCTGCTGCAGCAGGGCTATGAGGAGGGCCTGGTGGACGAGGCCATGGAACTGTTCCAGTACTCTGAGAGCAAGGTCAGCTGGGCCTCTTTCCTGGGTCCTAGGGGATGGTGGGATGAGATACACCCACCCCAGAGCAGCCTGGGGGGTGACGGGGATGAAGGCAATCAGTAACAGGGAAACAGGGCAGGGGGCAACAAAGAAACGACAACTGGAGGCCTGGTGTCAGAGAAGGAAGGAAGCCAGCCACTGGGCGTGGGCAGGGTCCCCAGCCTATCCCAGAGCAGCCTGGGGGGTGACGGGGATGAAAGGCAATCAGTAACAGGGAAACAGGGCAGGGGGCAACAAAGAAACGACAGCTGGAGGCCTGGTGTCAGAGAAGGAAGGAAGCCAGCCACTGGGCGTGGGCAGGGTCCCCAGCCTCCTTGTCTGGTGTCAACGCCCAAGCACGGGGTCGAGAGGAGCAGGAGGGTGGAGGTGAGGCCAGGCTGGGGCCTTCTTTCCTAAGGAAGAGAGGTCAGAGGCCCATCACCCCTCACATCACCCCAGGGGCCACCAGGGACCAGGCTGGCCTGGTCTGTGGAGCGGCAGCTTCCAGGGATGAGGAGCAGTGGGCACTGGGAGGGGGCTGCCCAGGGTCCCAGCACCTTCCTGTGCCCTCCTCAGGCCAGGGAGTTCCTGCGCCTCTGGGAACAGTTCAGTGACATGGGCTTCGAGCAGCAGCGGATCAAGGAGGTGCTCCTGGTGCACGGCAACCACTGTGAGCAAGCCCTGGAGGAGCTGGTAGCCTGCACCCCATGACCAGTGCAGCTCCCCGTCTGCTGTCATCGAAATCAAGCTGACAAATAAAGTCATGCAAGTTCATTGTAAGAAGCACAAACAATCACAAGGTTGGGAGAAACACCGCAGCCAGTCAGCAGTACTCCAGGAGGGCGAGGTGGGACTGAGTTTTTTGTACAAGCCTTGCGCACTACCTGTGTTCAGCTCTCTATGGTAATAGCTTTGCTTTTGAGAAAGGTAAAATTAAAAAAAAAATGATGGATGGTTCTTCTGAGGCCTGCAGTGTCCTGGTCTTGGGTAGAAAAGTATTTTAACTGAGAATCAGAAGCCCTAAGTTCTGATTTAGGTTGTGTGGATGTCAGGCTCAAGGCCTCTTTGGGGCTCCATTTCCCAAGGAAAAAGTAGAAAAAATCTGATCGGGTCAGAATTTTCCAGTCCTGGCAACTGCTCATGAGATACTCTCAGAGAACACAACTTGGCAGCCTCCTGGATTTTTGTTTTGTTGTTTGTTTGAGACATAGTCTTATTGGTATGGAACTCATGGCTTCAAGCAGTCCTCCTGCCTCAGCCTCCCGAGTAGCTGGGACTACAAATATAAGCTCAGGGTTTTTTTGTTTTGTTTTGGGTTTTTTTTGTTGTTGGTGGTGGTGGTTTGTTTTTTTTTTTTGTTTGTTTGTTTGTTTGTTTTTCCTGGTACCAGGGATCAAACTCAGGCCCTTGAGCTTGCAAGGCAGGTGGCGGAACTACTGAGCCAAATCCCAGGCTTGTTTGGTTTTATGTAAGAAGCTCTCTGAGGATTCTTTACAATGTAGCGGGACCACCACAGCCAATGTGTCTGGCTTTCTGGACCAGCCAGTCTAAGCGCCCTTCTGCTCTGACAATCCGGAGTCCTATGTCATCATTTGTCTTTGGGAGGCGGGGAGGTTGGGACCAGAGTTGTCTCCAGCTGCTCTGCACCTCTTTAGAGGCCCCAAGGATCAAAAGGGCCAGTTGCTGGAGTGGCCCATGACGTGGGCCAGCAGAGGTCAGGTTCCTTGCTTTTCCCCATGCCTTTAACAGTTTCCACAGAGTCCAGACCTCTCAGCCATTCTACCTGCAAACAGGGGAACACTTGTACCTGGGGCCTGTGAAGTCACAGACAGAAACAGCTGCACTTCTCAGGGCCCAGACCTTGTCTGATTGTGTCATGGAGACTTCTGTGGCCTACACAAGTCCTGCCTGGTCCCAGTCTTCTGAGCTCTATCCACACCCTCCATGTTTTCCACTAAGCCCAGTGCCTGCCAATGTGAAATCACATGAAAGATATTTTTTGGCCTTCAAATGTGCTTTGAATAACTTTAAGGCAACGCAAAACTATTTGAGAAAATCAGCAGGATGGCATAAAGTTGGTCATGTGTCTGTTGCCAAAAATAAAACTACCCTTGGACAAAGTAAAATTCAAGTTCAATTTCTGAGATGCAGCCTTAGGGCTGAAGTTAGTTTGGTTCTGAGTAAATTTACCTGACCTAAGTCTACCACTTTGTTAAGTCGCCTGCAGCAGAAGAGCCCAGGTGGGAGGCCTACACTCAGGCCACCATTCCCATTCTCCTGCCACCTACATCAACCTTTCCATCCCTAAAAAAGTATGGCTCATTTAAAAACGAGACAGCAATGGGCAGATTGTTAGTTTAAAACATGTTGTAGGAGGCAGAATGACACAGTTTAGAAGCACGGATCCTGAAGTCAGATCTGGGCTGAAACTACAGCCTATCACTAACTCTGTGACCTTTTGAAAGTCCCCGAGCTTCTTTGTGCCTTATTCATAAAATATAGCTACTGGGCTTTTCGATTGTGCTGAGCAGGACAGCACCCCGGAAGCTTGTGGCACTGAGTCTAGGCTACTTATTTATAACTTTCCTTACTCTCTAGTCACTCTGATCACCGTCTGCATCTTCATTATGGCTAACAGATCTCCACCAGTACGGTTGGAGTCCTCAGTGTCCCCCAGAGGTTCCTGTGTTGAAGGCTTGGACCCGGGTGAGGGTGCTCCTGGGAGGTGTGGAACCTTTAAGAGGTGGGGCCTGGGGGAAGTAAGTAATGCTGGCCCTTGAAGGGGCCGGTGGGACCCCAATTCCTTTCTCTCTCTGTCTCTCTCTCTCTCTCCCTCTCTCTCCCTCTCTCTCTCCCCCTCCCCCTCCCCTCCTCCCTCTCTCTCCCTTCCTCCCTCTCTCCCTCTCTCTGCTTCCTCTGTGCCATGAGGTGAGCAGTTTTGCTCCGCCACACTCCCTGATGTCCTACTGCACCCCAGGACCCAGACAACCAAGCCTAGCAACCATGGATGCTGGAATTGTGAGTCCAAATAATCCTTTTCTCTTTCTAAGTTGATTTTCTTGGGAAGTTTTTCACAGTGAGGGAAAGCTGACCAATATCCCTGCCTTTGTAATCAAACTCAGAGCACCTGGGAGAAGCTCACCCGTAACTCAGCTTCTCTGGTCTGGCTGGAGCACGGGACTCTGGAAGTGGCACCTGGTGGAGCAGCTGTCTCCACAGCTAATACAGAGATCAGGTGGCTCCAGGAAGCAGCTGCATGTGACACTCCAGCTACCTAAAGACAGCAGGCGAGGGACCCTATGACCCCTGGAGGGGAGGCCAGGACAGCAGGGGAGGCTTGGTCCAGTGCAGCAGGAGGCAAAGCTGCCCTGGCCCCTGCTCTCCCTTCACCCTCTTATGCTTTGTCTCTTCTTTGGCACCACAGTCCTTCCTCAGAGGCCCCGGACCAGCAGAAGGAAGTCCTGACTGTGACAGGACAGCTGCCTCTCTCATAAGCACTTCAGCCTGAGGCACCAGGTTCCTGGTGTGGCCCCTCCCCGAGACACATGCATAGTGTCCTCTGTCTGCCTGGCCCTCTGACCCTTCTGTGAAGGATCCCAGTGGTGACAGTGGGCCCCCCGGTAATCTAAGACAATCCGCCATCTCAAGAGCCTTAACTTAATCGTGCCTGCAAAGCCCTTTTGGCCAGGTTCTGGGAATTGGGCCTTTGGGAACCATGATTTGGCTTATGATGGAGGGTCAGTGCCTCACACCAAATAATATAAAACTCCTGTGGGTTTTGTGGCAATCCTACTAGAGTGGGAGTTTTGATGTGACTTGTATTGGTATTACTCGAGGGACATTCCAGTCTACAATGGCAGCAGAGCAGGCCTCCCATGTGAACCCAGCTTCCTTCTTCTCTACCAGCTGTGTGCAGATGAGACAGCAGCTCCGGAGCTCAGGTGGGGCCCAGCCTCCTCTCATCTCGAACATAAGCCTTATCCTGCTTCACTGTGAGTCAGCCTTCCACAGCTGGCGCCATTCTGGAGGGGCTCCTGGGCCAGGGTGGGAGAAGACACACCCGGCCCCAGTTACCTCTGAGATCGGCCGAGCAATCAGTAGACTTCAGCCTCCTCAGACTCCTCCCCTCTAAGCCCTTTCCATACACTCGCCTGCCCATCTGACCTTTGGTGCCCTGGCCTCCTGTCCTGTCCAGGAAGGTTCCCTGCTAACTTCTGTAGGGATCACTCTTGGCCTTGCAAAAGAGCACTGGGTAGAAGACCATGCTTACTGAAGACAGTGGCTCAGAAGCCTTGGGGTTTTAGGCTCAGCGAGAGCTGTCGAGGGAAGGGGTGGCCCCTTGGCTTCTCACACTGGACCAGCCCTCCTGTCCCCGTGTAAGGTGAGCCTGAAGGAGGACTTGGGGCGTCTTTCCTCTTCAGAGCTTCCACCTCAGGTCAGTGCCTCCTGCACACACCTGTTCACCCCCACATCCTCAGGGCCAGGCTGGTCCCCCAGAGGTCCAGACAACCTAGGGCCCTCTCAGACACTGCCTGCCTCCGTCCTCAGGGGCAGGAAACCCTGCTGTGAAGCCACCTTCAGGAGGTGTGGGTCTGTGCCTTCATGCTGGGGACAAGGGTGACCCTGAGCAGGTCCAGAACTCATCACTCAGCTGTCGCTACTCAGACACCCCATCCCTCGTTAACGTCAGCTGGCCTGGGAGCTGGAGAGGATTAGGAATGGGAGGTGGCCTCTGCCCCGGAGTGGGGTTCCCCAGGCTGGGCTAAGCAGATCAGTGCTGAGGCTGGGGATAACAGCAGGAAGGCAGAAGGATCAGTGGAGCTGGCCCTGTTTCCACAGGCCCTGAGGGTGTGTGCTGCCTGCTTGCTCTGCGGGACAGGCCTGGCCAGTTGCCCCTGTCAGCTCCATACCCAGCCCCGCAGTGGGGCACCCACCCCACCCAGCCCCTGCTGGTGGCCCTCCCTCCTGCCATTCTCCTCAACCTGTCCTTATAAGGCTACCCACTCAGGAGACGAGCGTTCTGTGTCCTCTGGGCAGCTGCCCACACAACATCACCCACTGTTTAACTGTTCGGGACTTGTAACCTATGATTTTTTTTTTTTTTTTTTGTCAAGAAAATGTTTCCAGATTGAGCAGAGACATTAACTGGGTGTCAGATGAGGGCAGAAAGATGGAAGCCAGGGAGTAGGGGAGCCAGGGACCCAGGACAGGCCAGCCTCAGGGCATGGGCTTAGCACAGATTCCAAACGCTCAGCCATCAAGTGATCCTAAGGACTTCAGCATCCCCCACGGGCGTGGCTCCCTGTTCTTCAGTGACACCAGTGTATGGGGAAATGCCACTCCCCTGCTGTGGGCCATCTTCACGTGCTGTCGGGATGCCCATCCTCCCTGGCAGGGGGAGGGACACATGTCGCTGCACAGGGCCAGTCTGACCCTTGCCGTAACCTTAGAATCTGGCACTTGTCCTGGCCATGGCCTCAGAGGAGCTGAAAATGGCTCCTGGTGCTGTGGCTTTCATCCTGCCCGGCCAGTGCTCTGTCCTCAGCAAGCCTGAGCCACTGGATTCCTTGAGGCAGGTCCTATCCTTTACTTGGCCGGGGCTGGTTCTGCTTGCTGATGACCGAACTCCCTGCTGGATTCAGTGAGGGGAACTGGGCAGAGAGAGAGTCTCCACTTCACCTTAAAACTAATGGTCTGGGTGAGGGAACCAGGTAGGGCCTGTTGGCCACAGCAGGACTGGTGGTCTTGGTGCTCAGAGAGGGCACTGCCGCCATCCAGGAACCCTCCCTGTGGCCCATAGTGCTGAGGGGCCACCCCCATCCTAGGCGAGCCTCGTCCTCTGCCCAAAGCCTGACACAGTTTGTGGTTAGAGGGGATACACAGAAGTGTTTGCTGAATGAAAAGAGAACAGGAAAAGGAGGGAAGGGAACCCAGGAAAGTGCCTATGGGAGCAGAGGCCCGTGCCCCAAGAGAACCAGCTGACTTCCCAGTGAAAGACCCTCCAGAGAGTGTGACCACCCACACCCCTTAGCAGCCAGTCCTGAGCCCAGAGGGGACCAGGTGGCCAGGACTGGGGTGAATAAGAGGCCCTGGTGGGTGCTGGGTCGTCCTGGTGTGAATCTGTACGAGGCCGCCCGTGCCCACGGGCAGCGCTGCAGTGTGCTCTGTCGTCAGCACAGGGCACATTTTTTGTGGCAGCAGGGCTGAGCAGAGGCAATGACTGTCCATGAGCAGTCAGAAGCAGGGACTACTCTGTGGTCAGAAACAGGCTGAGCTCTGAGGAAAGCGGTGGTGCT